GCCCGATGCGAACCCATTTAAATCCATTCTTCTGGGATCTTCTTCGGCTTCTTTCCGTCTAAAAGGTTAGCTTTCCACTTATGAAAAATGGGTTGTTGCGGTGTGCGTTATGAGCACCTTTTATTCCCAGCTTCTTAGCAAATTTCTCCAGAGACAGATTTTGGGCAATCAACACGCCAGCGATCTTTTCTTGCAAGTTGTCATTCAGCTTCGCGATCTCCACTGGAATAGCTTCGTGGGACTTGACAAGTTTCCACAGCTTATCAGAGTTTAGTCCACCACCACGCTCTTCAGTGTTAACCAGCCAATCAGCAGGCTCCTCCTCGAAATAGGAAGAGCGCAAAGAGCGCTTCGTATCGACGCCAACCTTGCCAATGACGGACTTCCGCAAGTTGTACTTCTGCTGGGAGTCAGTGAAAGCTGCGTCAGTGCTGACAAGGAGTGTGGCTGCTACAGCGATGGCGACGTAGAAGAACCGCTTGACTGAAGACTCCTCAGTGAAGTCTAGCCGAGTTTTGATCGATTGTGCGTCTAGATGCTAATTGCGAACTGAGCAGCAGGTTTGCGACCCAGAGAAGATTAATTAGCGTCGTCATCGACGACAGCATCTATTACAGTAAACAATGTGTCGAACACATGTTCGATACATTGTTTACTGTATCCCAAAAAGTCTTTTGTTAAGAAGCTTTAAACAAAACCGACGGTTATTACTATTTATAGGTCCTTAGCTAAAGTGAATGTTCGTTTGGTGAATTTAAAAAAGAGATGTGCTTCCGTGTGTGCCCAATTCAGTGCCTTCTCTTTTGGTGTGTTTTGCAGCTTCTCAAAGGACGCAACACATTTGAGACTGCGTCAAACATAATGATTCTTACGAGCCATTTAGAGTTATCGAGATAATCGAGCTTAAAGTTGGCCAATTGATTTACGCACTTAAACGAAACAGTGATATTTTTTGTAAACTTTAATCGAAAAAACTGTAAAACTACCCTTTTTCAATTGCTTTTAACAAGAGCTTTTGAATAACACTTGGATTTTTCAAATTAAAAAATATTGAGCTCACAACACTTCTAAAATTTATCGTCATTTCGAGGGCTCATAAATGGAGATAATATTTTTGAGCGACCACAACTTCTTCAGTTTTAAGTATTCTGTAGCATATAAGGGCTCAAGAGATAGCGGACACGCCCCGCTTTCGTTTAGAGTGCTTAAATCGCGTTTCGTACTTAGGTTCGTAAGTATCATTTTTTGGGGGTGGTCTCATTTGTTGTGCGACTTTCGTTTTCACAACTATCAGTATCCTATTATAATCCAAAAGACCCTTGTTCTACCAGTGGTTCACAAAGATGTGTTCGGGTATGTAAAGACTTCCAGGATTTTTCGCTTCAATAAAGGGCTTGGTGCAAGTTCAGGCTGTACAGCTTTGTAGCAGTGTCATAACACATTGATGCCCAGTAGATTAAGGCGATGGTACCCTGTAAAGGTACAGTTCTGGATAGTGATTTCTTAGGATAGTAGTTAACCATTCCAGGTCCGTTCTCTCCAGACGACGGATCGAATGTCCTTTTCCTTTCGTCGATTTGTGATAAATAGAGGTCAAAATATTAACTCGATGTCTTCACAAAGTACGCATCGATCTAGTATTCAAACGACTGGCTAATAAATCGAGCTGATCATTTTTGTCGTCTTGAAAAGGGTTTATTTCCTAAAACAGACCTCTACTCATCTCATTTAAATGCATGGTTTTATTATTCAACCACGCTTGATTAATTAAGGAGCATTGCAAAGAATCGTGCTGAAAATTCCCTCCGGATTACGCTCACTGTTTTGACAGTAAACTACTCACTCTCAAAAAAAGTTACCGGAGGTTGCTTACATTAGAATGATCTAGCCTTTTTTATCACCTAAATAAAACTTCTTCCCACTGGGACTCTACCAAAACCTACACAAATGAGATCACAGGCACAAGTTTGAAGGTGAAATGTGTTGAATTTTATGTCGAATTTGTGATGCATCTGCTAGCATATCAAAATCAGCACTTTTAGGGTTATGGGTACATGTACATGTACGCGGCTGCTGGCTGCTGGTCATTCACCTTTTTGACGGTTCGGGACACCCCCCAGCGGCTTGTGTTATCGTACGAGCACCGAAAGGTTCGTTTAAAAAAGCAGGTTTTGTTACCCTTCCATCGATGCCGAAGTTGGGGTTCAGACGGCATCCCCCGGAATTGGCTGATGCTTGACACGTAACCGACGGGAGATTCTGGCTCTCTGTGATAAGTGGCTCCGATGAAATTGCTTCTTGTTCGTCATCATCTAGCTGCACCACACTGCACTTGCCCTAGATTTCTAAAGGCATGCTTCGCTCGTCGAAAGCTTAGTGGACATTATCTTATTGAGCTGGTCCGAGCGGGAGAAACTGATTAACAAGAGATAAGAGGCCTGCAATAGTAAAGGCAGCGTTAAATGTATTCGTGAGATCCTGTTTGTGATGCACTATGGTACGTACGTTCAACTTGAGGCGTAGTGAAGTCCCGTCCTCTTCCCGCATTGCGGCGGAAGTGGGCTTTACTGGACACTGATAGGTGTACCTAAAATGAGGTGCAATGCTTTTGCGTCGACGCATTTTGTGGAGACGAGAACGACGTCTCAACATTTGACTACCGATTTGTGACAACAAATACGTCACAGCTATGTCAGACGCAAAAATCGAGATTGTGTAGGTTTTGGAAGAGCCCCACTGGGAGGGAAAAGGAGTCTAATCGACCAGACCGAAATGGAAATGAAGAAATGCCGTGTATGACTGCGCCGCTCTGCACTGCAGAGACTGCACCCGTCTTCGGCCAGAAGTCCGGTGCCACAACTTGGGGCCCAAGGCGCGTTGAGTAGAATATAGATGCCGCACAGAAGGCTGCACTCTTAGCGCTGCGCCAGTGCACCAATGTACGCAAATCTGCAGCCTGTGGCGGAGCCACAGCAGTGTCTGACGAGACGTCGCCTTAGAAAATGCAAATGGTTACTTTTAAGTGCGAATTCGATTCTTAAATTTCGACTCCCCTTTTACTGTTTCTGCTTAGTAATTGTGCACGCGTCTTTGCTTATTTTTTGGCTCATTTTTTATGTTCGAGTACATACTTAAGCTCAGTATTGATCTACTTATAAACGACTGGGACTACGCCTTCAACATTTAAGAAAAAAACATTAATATGGCAGTTTGACAATTCATCTTAAAAAAGTGTTCTTAGATGTTTAAATAGTAACTCTCGAGCTACACGTATCTGATCGAATTATGGAGCAAACTCGTTTGATTGAGTTGGAAAACAGTTGTGACTCAATTGGCCACGCTGAAAGCGACCGGTACATGTAATTTTGCACGTGATGACTTAAAAAACAAGACACGTAAGGAACACGCTTATCTTCCGACAATAAAACAATTTGCTAACAACCCACCTGGCAAATACGGGTGTGGTTGTCCACGATCGCTCTGGTAGACGAGCGTGATTCTAAGGGAGGCCAAACAAGGAAAAATAGGGCTGAAGGGGTATCTGTTACGCGTTCACAGAAGCCTATAGACGTAAGCTATGAATCCAATGTAGTACACACGCGAAATTCCTATTACCTACTTAGCCTTCAGCTCTCTTGTCACTAACGCGTTCTTTACCTGCAAAATGGAGACTGAGCTAACAAAATGTAAAACGTGAGAAACTACAGTGACCTACACTCACGGAACACTTGCCGGGTCTCTCCTGTGGGAGGATGCTCCAATGCGAGTGGTGCTTCACTTTACAGAGCAAACTGAATTCACAACACGGCCTCCCCCGACTTGTCGGAACATCAATCGTAAGTAGGCTGCAACTCGGCAGCCATTCCAATTTTCTCACAATACTTCGCCAGTCTTCGCTTGGGCAATGCCTTGGTGAACATGTCAGCTGTGTTCTCCAAGCCTGCGATCTTGTGGATCTCCATCAAACGTTTCATAACTTGGTTACGTACATAATGCCAGCGAAGTTTAATATGACGGCGACGGCTATTATACGTTGGAGCTATAGCCAACGCAATGGCTGCGCTGTTGTCTATGCCTAACTCCATACTGGTGCTAACGTTGATGACAGGAAGCACCTCGTCCAGCATGTTGACGATACAACGACCTTCCATCGCAGCTTCCCAAGCAGCGATGTACTCAGCTTCAGCTGTGGACTGTGCGAGATTGTCTGTCTTCGAGCAGCCCAAGCCACTGCACCACCGGCTATCGTCCTTACAAATTCTGTGATACTTTTCAGGGAATCAGGGTCATTCCTTCAGTCTAAGTCTGCAGCGGAGCTGCCGTAGCATTAGCATCAGAGGAAGACCTTCGACTCAAAGAGTCACTAATACTAAGTTCCTTATCCAAAGGCCACTTACAGCCCAAGACCAGGGTTCAAAGTTAATACCTTTATTCTATGCTTCAAAGCCAGAAGTGTTTTATTTACTATTATTGCGGCCAAGCCGCCTAGGGGTAAACGAATATGTTTAACTATCTAGCATAGTTAAACCTAATCAAATGCATAACGTGTGGCTTTCAGCCAACGTACTGAGAGACCTTGTTAACTCTCCAACTTATGTACGGAGAGTTTGTTAACTCTCCCCCCCCTCCCTTAAGATGGGAACATTCCGTTCTCGAAACTTTCCTCAGCGAGTTCCCGTCTTGTTAAGACGGCGGAGGTTACAATACCCCACATCAGCGTTGTACAGCATCGCTGATGTCCAACTTCTCGTCGTCGGCCCACTCCAAGCGCAGCGCGCATCTTGCTCTCAAGCGGCCTCAGACCTACGCTCGCGCTCCGCGCCTACCCCAAGAGTTCAAAACCGCTTAGAGCTATGCTCCTGACTCATCCGAGTCGTCGACAACAGCTCAGCGGTTGAACACTCGCTTCACAAGCGATAGGTCGGTGGTTCGATCCTACCAGAGCGTCGCCCTTTCGTTCCATGAACGATTGTCCACGCTTGGACAAGCTTAAGGGCAACACCCTGTTAGCTCAATGGTTGAGCGTCGGCTTTGAGAGCCACGGGTCGGTGTTTCGAGCCCACCAGGGCACAGCCCTCTCGTTCTATCAACTGTTGTTCTTGAATGAACAAGCTAAAGGGCAACACCCTTTCAGCTCAGTGGTCGAGCGTTGGCTTAGGAAGCCACAGGTCGGTGGTTTAAATCCACCCGGGCGCATCCACATTTGGATCATGCTCATCGAGCAAGGTGTTTCAAAACAACTATGCGTCTATCGAGACGGTTGTGCCTGAATCTTGTTCAGCACAACACGAAGCACCTGCTTCCTTCGGGGCCATGTCCCTAACACAACGAGGTCGCTCCATCCCCTGCTCCCGCTGCGAGCACCGCTCATACGTACGAGCTGGCTGCTGCAGCCACTGGTCAGAGCCTGAGCTCAACTACTGACCTGATCGCTCCCCACTCTAGTGAGAGGCGCCCAGCGCCTGGCGACGCTGTCGCACGCCATCGTGGCGCTTCGGCACATGATGTGCCCTGTTGTAAGCGTCAACGATATCAGGGCAATCTTGCCGGAGGATAACCTCAAACTGCCATGCGTTCTGTGAGTGAGGGTAGCCCCTCCACTTCACCAAGTACTGGGTACTGGCGTCTACGCCGCGCCACAAGGCGTTCTACGTGAAAGTGGAGCTCACCATGCTCGTCGAGCAGAGCGAGAGGAGGCCTTGCCTCAGCTGGGCTCTCGCGGGGAGAGTCAGCACTTGCCGGAACGGTGTCTGCGTCCATACGACGCCGGCGTCCACGACGCGAACGTTCACGTTCACCGCCCATCGATCGATCTCGAAGAGATGATCCACCTTGCGGATAGGTTTGAGCCACCACAGCAAACGCGCAACCAGGTCTCGGACCTTGAGCGTCCAGTCGTTCGGCTGAAATTTCAGCTTGTCTTACTCCTGCATCTCGAGCACTTCGCTCCGCGACCTGTGGCTCTGCCACATGCTGTTGATCAGCCATCTGTCGGTCCACCACTTGGTGTCGTTCCGCCTCCCGTGGCTCTACCACCTGCCGCCCTGCAGCTGTCTGTTGTCCAGCCCCCGTTGGCGCTAACGCCTCCGCGCTCACCTGAGCAGGGTCTTGATATGGCTTAAGCAAGCCAACATAGAAGACCGGATGCGTGCGCATCTTCTTCGGAAGGTTGAGCGTATACGCTAGGCACGACCTTGAGCGGTACTTTGAGCCGTGGTCTCAATTTTGTCTTGAAGACCCCAGACACTGCATGGGTAGGTTTTTTATTGCGTTTAATAAAACTTGGTCTCCGACCGCAAACCGTTCTTCATTGCATCTGCCCTTGACATCAGCATGTTCTTTCTGTGTGTCCTGGGTTTCCGCCATAGCGTCGCGCACCTGGCGCATTACGCTCAGTCCAAACGTGACAAAGTCATCGACTTGCTTCCGAACCGCAACAGGGCTGACATCAGCTAGCTGCTCGGCTATCCCATCCCCCATCAATCCCTGAGCCACTGCGTGGCGGCGTCAGTGGGACGCGAGTGTTAACCAAGCCGTTCACATAGAGCGGAGTGTAGCCTGTAGAGGCGTGCACCGCATTGTTTAATACGAACGCAACGAGTGAGAGCATCTGACTCCAGCGTTTTGGCCCCTCAGCGCATACGCTTCGGAGGATATCCTCCAAAACGCGATTCACGCGCTCGGTTTGCCCGTCGGTCTACGGATGGTCCGCTGTGGACATGTTTGAAGGAGTGCCGGGCACTCTGAAGTGGGACGTTCAACACTTCGCGGTGAGGCGCGGGTCCCGATCCGAGACAATTGCCTCAGGCAAGCCATGTTGGCGGCAGACTCGGTCTAAAATCAGCAAAGCTGTACCTTCACCACCAACGGTGTCCGGCACCGCCGCTAAATGAGCCATCTTGCTCAATCGGCCTACAAAGACCACAATACACGTGTTTCCTGCTTTATCCTTGGGAAGGCCAAACACAAAGTCCGTACTCATGGACTGCCAACGTTCCTTGGGGACAGGCAAACTCGCCAATGGCGCTGCCGTGCTCGGCGTGGACTTTGTCCATTGACACGTCTCACACGCGTACATAGGTGCCGACCCACTTGTACTTTTTGGGCCACCAGTACATCGAGCTCACCGAGTCATAGATCTTCTCTCAACCTAAGTGCCCCCCCCCCGGGCGTATCATGAACCGCACAGAAGATCCAATACTTTAGATCCTCATCATGAAGAACAACTACACGAGGGTTATCCTCAGGGTCGGTCCTGTAGTATAGAAGGCTCGAGCTTCGATGCAGCCTCACGCGTATGCGCCCCGACATACCCTTGTCAGAGTCTTTAAACTCTTCACTCCCAAGAGCCCGTAGCAGCGCTACGCACATGTCGTCCTGTGCATACGCTCTGCGTATCACGTCAGGCACTGACGACGTCACTGTCGTGACATGAGCTAACTCGTAGTCCGGCCTGCTCGAGAGCGCATCGGCCACTACATTAAGCCGCCCCGGCTTGTACTTCACCTCTAAGTTATACTCGGCAAAGAAGGAAAACCATTTTGCCATTCTCTGAGAGAGATGAGGCGACTGTGTCGCAGTGCGTAGCGACGCATGATCAGCCTAGCAGGTGTACCCTGAATTTGACTAGAGCATACTTCATTGCAAGAAGCTCTTTGTCATGAACTGGATAGTTCTTCTTTGCAGCTTTGAGCTGGCGAGACTCAAACGAAATTACGCGTTCACGCCCTTCGGCGTCTGCTTGTAGTAAAGCACAACGGATCGCAAAATCAGAGGCGTCACAGACGACGCTAAACGGACTATCCGAGTCCGGTAGCGCAAGGGTTGGAGCCTGGAGAAGGCTCTACTTCGCAGCCTCAAAGGCTCCGTCGTGCTCGATGTTCCAGCACCATGGTGCGACCTTCTTAAGGAGATCTGATAATGGCCGAGCCATCTCCGCGTACCATTCACCAGCTCGTTTAGCTGTGCAATTAATTGGCAAAGCCTAGCCACTTGCGTAAGTCTTTTTGGTTCTTGGGAACCGGCCAGTCCACGATGGCCTTGACTTTGGCAGGATCTACCCTTAAGCCTCGCTTCCCAATGAAGCACCTGAGGAAAGGTATTTCCTCCGCGCCAAATACACACTTGGCCAAGTTGGCATACCACTTGTTAGTGCGTATGCACTAAGGCACCGCTCGCAAATGGTCAATGTGGTTCTTCACGTCTGACCTTCCGTGCTCAGCATGACTATGGACGAATATATCGTCAAAGTACGTTTGAGCGTACGCCAGGTGGGGCCTAAACAGCTGCGGCACAAGACGATTGAGCGTTGCTGGTGCGTTCCAGGGGCTGTCTGGGGCATCACCAGCCACTCCCAGAGCATACCACTCGGAGTACTCACCGCTGTCAGCGGAATGTCGCTGGCTTTCATGCGAAAATAATAGTAACCATCGACCAAGTCGAGGGTGGTGTACAACGTACGGTCTACCATGTTGTTCTGCAAAACACCCTTGCGAGGAATCGGTGTTTGCGCCGGGATGATAGCCGCATTTAGCGTGATGAAATTATGAACAATGTGCCACTTGCCGTTCGCCTTTCTGACACAGAACGTGGGTGTCGAGTGCGGAGCCTTACTCTCACGCACCATCCCTGCCTCGTGCTTTGCACGGAAGAATGCATCAATGACGTCACACATCTCTCTCGGCAAAGGCCATTACCTTGTCACGCAGGATTTGGTTCCATGAACCACGTCAATCGCATGACACATGCCTCGATCCGGAGGCAGGCCCATCGGTGGGTCCATCGAGACAACGTCGCCATACTCCTTCACCACAGGATAGAAGGGATCCGAAGGATCTTTTAGAATCGACGATCTACTTCTTGCGCTCAGCGCCTTCTTGGAGTCCTCAAGGACAGCGTCGTCCACGACGGATGCAGAGTTCAACTCATCCTCAGGTCCCAGCAGGACCACCTCGGCTAGCTCGCCTGTCTTCAAGGCGTCGCCAAACTTGGCAATAGACATCTCGTCCAGCTTCAGCACAGCGTCTGCAGCGGGCAGAGTGTCAAGGCTGAAGTCGCCTTCGACCACACCCGTCACTCCGTTCACGAGTGTTTACAGCTGCACGTGAAGCCTCACCGCTTGGCCACCTCGTCCGACGTCGAAGACGTCACAGACGCCCTGCGTCTTTTCTCCTCTCCCTCCGTGGCCGAGCCCGGATGAGGGCGGTGTGGCGACATCTCCATCATCACCACCGGGTGCAGCAGCACCATCACTCCTCGAAGAGGAGACAGTGTCTCGCAAGACACTCGGCTGAGAGCCAAGAGGCCCTTGACCCTCACACAGTGAGCAAGGTGTCACTTCACCTGCATCTCCTGGGCCGCGCCCATGCCTCGTCTCACAGTCGACCGCGACTCTCGGGCCACGCAGCGGTAGATCATAGACCAGACTCGTACCACTCAGTGGATTACGCGCCACTCCGCGTCCGTCCTCACCAGGACCCAGCAGTTGGTCAATGACCTGACCTGCACCGCTCAGCGGATAACGTGCCGCACCACGTACGCCCTCAGGGCAATCAGCAACCTTGTCGGTAACAATTTCGGACATACCAATGCCCAGCACTACGGCCGTCTTGGCCTCGTGCTCGAGCCAAAAGCGTTTCTGCTTCCTAGCAGAGGTGGGTTCATGACTCATTAAAGCTCCACTAGGAGCAGGGTGCGACGCACCCAGCGGTTTCGACTTCCAGTCGATCCATGGCTCATGGCGTTCCAGCCAGGCCATGCCAAGGATGAGGTCATGCCTCGCATCCAGGTCTAAGACCAAGCAACATTCCACGTTATCGAAGTTCTCAACCTTCACATCAAGGTCGACAGAGACCTTCAACACAGTTACCAGTGTCCCTGTCACTAGTCGGACAGAGATCGTATCTCGCGTTGGCACTTCCAGTGCCTCAGCATACAGCTGACTCCCTTCCAGGGTGGAGCGACGGGCGTAGTTGCCAGAGGCTCCCGAGTTATGCAATACTCTCCATGGCTTTGCAAAGCCCTTCACGTTCGCTTAAACGACTAGCAAGCCCGGCTTGCACACACCCTTC